GGTTCGCGCCCAACCACATTTGACTTGCGCGCGAACCGCTATTCGCGCCCTGTTAGTGCGCGTTCGTAGCTCGCGAGATATCTTTCGCCAGCGAGTGCGAGCTCCCTCCCTTCTGCCCTAAGTGCTCGCGGGCGAAACTAGTTTCGCGCCCTGCGATGCCGCGTCCGCAGCCCGCGAACGCCATTTCGCCAGCTGTTCGTTCTATTTTTTTCGTGTTTTCCTTGTTTATTTTGCATTTATTTTTCCCCAATCTAGGTTATTTTCTTTGATTCTTGGTCCAATTTGTGTCGTGTCGTGCGTTTTCTTTATTTTTCTTGTTTTTGGTTTTCCTTGTTTGTTTTTCTCATTTTTTCTGAGTTTTTCTTGGTGGTGGAATTATGCAGGTTAGGTGGTTCGGTAAGCATCCGCGAGGTGATCGTTGTCGAAGAATTTGGACCGAGTTGAGATGAAAAAGGCGGAACTAAACCCCGAGTCTGGAGGCATGCGTGTCGGACCAACGGAGTTCTGTGCAGAAATTCCTTCACCGCGGCCCGCGACGGTCTTCCTGCGGCCGCGGTGTACAAAACAATTCCAGCCCCCAGTTTTCTTCGCCGCGGCCGCGGAGGAGGAAGTCGCGGCCGCGGAAAACCCAAATACTTGGCACCAGTGGACAAAGACGAAAAGTCGCGGCCGCGGGACGAGTCGCGGCCGCAGACAATTCCTTCACCGCGGCCCGCGAGCTTGTCCGCGGCCGCGGAACGCGCGATTTCAGATTTTAAAATTGCAGATTTCTTTTGAAACGTATCATTCTTGTTTTGATCTAAGTTTGGAGGTTCTTGGTACTTAGCACTCAAAAACTCATATTTTCTCTTAGATTTGATCTTGGTATTCGATCTTGGAGAGAAAAACTCCGAGATTCGACTTTTGGATTCGATTATTCGTGTTTTCAACATTGGATTCCCTAATCATAAGCTTTCATTTCATTTTCTTATTGATTGAATGGCTTTGATTATTGTATTTGTTAAGTTGAATGCATTATGAGTAGCTATATCCTTTAGCTAGGGTTAGGGGAAGACCGTTCTGGTTCGATTTCGTTTATATGCATGATAATTGCTCAATCCTCTCGAGTTATGCTTAGCCTAGGGTTTTGATGTTTGATCACCATCTTAATCTAATTAATCGATTTTAAAACTGACAAGGGAGAAATCGTTCGATCTAGGCTCGTTAGGAATAAGCTTGTTCGTAATAGTATTGCTTATGTGTTGATTATTTCAAGAATTACTCGTTAATGTATATCCTCTTGTTACGAAGAGTTATTGAGGATTGATCTCTAGATGAGTAGTTTAGCAAGACATTTAACCGAGCTCTTGATTTTTTTTATCGTTAAATAAATTTGTATTGATTAAAACTGGAAGTCATACAACCGAGACGGCTATCAAGTCGAAATGGGTAGCCACATGTTGGCTCCTCACTCGAAAATACCAAAACTGAGGGCTTACCCACAAACCGGGAGCTCACTCGAAGTAGAAACCCAACAAAATCCAACAAAATGGCGGCGCTAGTGAGAATTTCTGGGTAGCGCCGCTAGGCAGCACTAGCGGCGCTAGTGGCGACGTGGCGCTAAGTGGAGTGACAGGCCCTAGCAGCGCTAGCTTGCACGTAGCGACGCTAGGTCGAAGCTAGCGCCGCTAGCAAGGTAGCGCTGGAGGGCACCTTTCCTCTGTTGGGTCCGAAGCTGGCGCTAATAGCACGGAAGCGGCCGCTAGGGTCGCCTTAGCGGCGCTAAGCCCCCTTAGCGCCGCTAAGCCTGGGCAGCAGAAAATTTTTTGCAGCAATCCTTTGTTTTTGCTCTTCCAAGTGCATAAGCACTTATCCTCAATCAATCCAAGCACATCATATTTTACACAGTAAGACCAAGGCATCGACTTTCAAATTCGGCAAGCACCCTCGGGTAGGTGGCAAAAATAGTACGATAGACATGAGTTTTTACCTTGCGAATCACAAGGCTTGGAGGTTGGTTTTCGCCTTCAAAGATCAAGCGATTCCGAGCATTCCATATAAAGTATACGGTAGCCGCTAGCGCCGCTTTTTTCAATTTGGCTCTCCATGTCGTACCTTTTCCCTCTTTTTTGGTCCACTTTTGGGCTCCTTTGAGTGTAGTTCGCGTGTGACAGAGGCTAATCCATACACGAATGGCACCCCAAATCTCCGAGCTAAACGAGCACTTGAAGAAGAGATGACTCGAGGTTTCAATGGCGGTACCGCAAAGGGGGCACGTCGGATCCTCATTAAGGAACTCAAGTCGATCCTTAGTTTGGAGCCTATTCATCACTCCGAGCCATAAGATAAATAAGTGCTTGGGGGTATTGCAACTCCCCCAAACAACCCCGGTCCATGGCTTGATGCTTCCCTTATATCGGAGGAAGTCATAGCATTTGCTCTTGCCATCTTGTTTATCTTGAAGACTCCACAACCGAAGGAGGCCTTCCGCACCTCTCACACTACCCGTTTTTTCAATCAAGTTAAGTCGGATGTCAAAGAGGGATTTGAAGAGGGGAGAGTCATTTTTGGAAATTTGCCACTCCCAAATAGATTTCTCCTTTAAGTAGACATTGTTTATCCATTTGTACCAAAGAGAGTCCTTCTTCGATTGGATATTCCAAAGGGTCCTCATGAGAAGGGCCCGGTTCCACGCTTTCAAGTTACGGAGCCCCAATCCCCCCTTCGCCCGAGGTAAGCATAGAGTATCCCAAGCAACGGGATCTTTTTTGGAGCCCCATAAGTATCTTCTACAAAGTTGCGTGATCTTAGTTCGAACTATGCCCGGCAAATGGAAGATGCCCATCCTAAAACAAGCAATGCGTTGAATGACCGATCGGATAAGTTCCAATCTACCAGCGTACGAAAGTGATTGGCTTCTCCATCCAATCAATTGGCTCTCTATTTGATTTATCATGTCATCAAAAAGCCTACCGGTAATTCGATCCGCCGTAAGAGGAATACCGAGGTACCAGAACGACATAGGCCCACTTTGCGTACTAGTTTCGTCAAGGATTGTCTCCCGGTCTTGTTCTTTGACCCCATCCATATATATGTTGGATTTGAGTACATTCATTTGGAGTCCCGATTTGACTCCGAAATCCCTTATGCAATTCATAAGCAATTGAATGGACCCCGAGTCGCCTCGAGAGAGGAGCATGAGGTCATCAGCGAAGACAAGGTGGGGGATCTTGAGCTTCTCACACATTGGATGAAATTTAAAGCTCGGGTCTTCCCCCGAGTGGCACTTAATAAGCCGGGATAGATATTCCATGCAAAGTACAAAAAGGAAAGGTGATAGAGGGTCACCTTGCCTTAGGCCACGCGCACCTTTGAAGTGTCCTTTGAGGCATCCATTAATGGATAAAGAATATGACGGGGTAGTGACGCACTCCATAATCCACTTAGTAAATGTCGGGGGAAAGCCCAACCCCTCAAGCATTTGTCTCAAGAATGTCCAAGAGACGGAGTCAAAGGCTTTTCGGAGATCGATCTTAGTTAGGCATCTCGGAGAGACTCTTTTCCTCAAGTATTGACGGAGTAGCCCAACCCCTCAACCGAGCTCTTGATTGCTCGTTAAGTGTATTGAGAACCGGAATTTATCGACCCTGATACTCTAGCTCCTTTATCATAAATTGAGTTTGAGTATTAAGGTGTGAACTCGTGATTCCTAGTTTTGTCTAGCCTTTTCAATTACTTGGTTTTCAATTAGTAGTTGATAAAAAAACCTCCAAACTTGATTTAGAATGTTTAGGATTTTCACTTCTTCTATTTTCCATTTTTGTGTTTGAATAATCGTACAAAATAATCCGGCTGACCTTCCTTGAGAGACGACCCGGTGTCGAATCTTTCGATTCAACTCCAGTAAAAATATTTACAACAAATTGACGCCGTTGCCGGGGAAGATTTAGGACTTATTTTGTGCGCCTATTCATTTATTTTCAGTGTTTCTCTTATTTTCTGTGAATTCTTGTGTTTTTGTGTTTTTCCTTTTATTTTGTTTTGATTTCTCTTCGTTCTTTTTGTTATCTATCTGGTGCCCGTGACGTTTTTGTTGTTTGTGTTTATGCGTACCAGGAGTGGTCGTGTAATCATCCCATACGACGAATCCATCCAACAGGACCTCCGAGACTTACTAGCTAGTCTTGCACCAGTATCATTTACATCAGAAACCCAAACCGACATGGCACAGAATGAGCAAGATGAGGAAGTTAATAATCCTCCAAGCTCTCTTCTTCGCGATTTGGCTCAATCGGTGATTGGGCCAGTGACTTCGTGCATCCGACTGGGGACAGCAGCTCGAAACTACGAGCTAAAGACGATCCACTACAACCAACACCCATCCTTCCATGGTCTTCCCAATGAAGATCCACTTCATTTCATGCGTGAATTCTACAATGGCCTCCAAACATTTCCACTCCACGGATTAAATGAGTACCAGTTGAAGATGAGGTGTTTTCCAAAAACACTCAAGGATCGGGCTAAGGCGTGGCTGATGACACTTGCTCCAGACTCTCTTACCACTTGGGAGCAAGTGTACACCAAGTTCATCGGGAGGTACTACTCCCATTAGAAGACTCAAGAACTACAGTCACAAATTGTCTCTTTTGCCCAACAACTGCACGAGCTACTTCACGAAGCATGAGAATGCTTCAAGGACCTACAGAGACAGTGCCCACATCACAATCATCCTCCGGCCCTTTTGATGAACGGTTTCTATGATTCTCTCCACCAGAACCTTCAGTACATGGTGGACAATGCAGCTGGTGGAGACATCGGGGCAAGAACGGCAGAGGAGATGATGGATATCTTTGAGGCGTTGAGTTCTAGCTCGTCTCAAAAGAGCAGTCGAGGGAAGAGAGCGGTGGTGAACGAGGAATCTCCAAAGCAGGACATGATAGCCCATCAAATATCCGAACTCACAGAGCAAATGCGGCTAATGAATGTACGAGGAGGCCAGTCAGTGCACACCATGGCGATAGACACATGCGGGGCATGTGGAGTTCAGGGGCATAAAATCCGAGGTGTGCCCATCGGCGTTTGACCAGGAGGTAGGAGAACAATATGAAGATGTCAATGCCCTCCAAGGTTATCAGAACCGACAGCCCAATGACCCCTACTCCAACACGTACAACCCCGGGTGGAGAAATCACCCACATTTCTCGTGGTCCAACAACAACAACACCCTCCAGCCACCTCGTCCAAACTTCAGCCAACAACAGCCCCGTCCAAACCTCATGCAGCATCAAACCCGTCCCAACTTCATCCCCCGTCCGAGCTACCAACAACAACAGCAACCACAACAGCCAGCCCAAGGGTTCAGTTCAAGCTCGTCAAATCAAGATGACAAGCTGGACCAGATCCTTCAGTTTATCACCAACCAGGACTCATATATTAAGCGTCTCGAGACGCAAGTGGGTCAGCTTGCCACGAGAGTCGGGAACATGGAGGCTGAGTCAAACAAGGGGAAACTTCCGAGCCAGCCCGAGCAAGCAAAGACGATAACAGTGTTGAGGAGCGGGAAGGAAGTGGACAACAAAGTTAGAATGCCCGAGCCTGATGACCCCAAACCAACTGACCAGCCTAAAGAAACCGAGGAGAGTGGAAAGAGCACAAAAACCGACTCGGGAAAACCGACAGTGAGTCCCTTGCTTCACAAGTCTCCAAAGCCTTACATGCCACGCATCCCTTTTCCAAGCCGACTTCGAGATGAGAAGCAAGAGCAACAATTCCGGGATCTATACAACATGCTCTCAAAAGTCAACGTGAACTTACCTCTCCTAGACGTGATCAAGAACATGCCATCGTATGTGAAGTTCTTCAAAGACCTGGTCACAAAGAAGAGGAAGTTTGGCGATAGAAAGAAGGTGGTAGTCTATGAGGCGGCGAGTGCCATGCAACATGACCTTCCAAAGAAAGAAAGAGACCCCGGGAGCTTCGTGATCAAAATCTCCCTCGGGAATGGGAAAGAAGCTTCGGGGATGCTTGACCTCGGAGTGGGAATCAACCTTATACCGTTTTCCATCTTTCAACGGCTTGGTCTCGGTGATTTAAGACCAACCCGTATGTGCCTCCAGCTTGCCGACCGTTCGATTCGATACCCCAAGGGGGTAGTTGAAGACGTTCTTGTTCGCGTAGGAAGGCTTATCGTTCATGTGGACTTTGTTGCTCTGGATGTGGGGGACGTGCACAAAAACGGAAAATACCATACTATCCTTCTGGGCTGACCATTTATGTCCACCACCAATACACTCATAGATGTGAAGAACGAGACCTTAAACATGACGACCTTAGGCGAATCCGTATCTATCTCAGTCCGAGAGGCCACCTCGGCATCTTCGGTAAACTTTGTGGAAGAATGTGCCTTTGTTGATGTGAGTGACCCGTTCGTGGAAGAGATTACCATTCGAGATTTGGAAGAGAGATTAATGCCCAATCTCGAAGAGGAAGAAGATCCAACAATTGAGCTCTTTGTAGTCGACGAGCCCAAAAAACCGAACCCACCTACCTTAGAGCTCAAGGAACTACCCCGCCACCTGAAGTATGTTTTTCTCGATGATGAAAAGCAAAAGCCGGTTATCATCTTTGCTGAGCTTAACCGGGACGATGAGAAGGAGCTGATTGGTGTTCTAAAAAAGAATCAGAAGGCCATTGGCTGGAGCCTAGGTGACATTAAAGGCATCAGCCCTTCCACATGCATGCACCGGATCATTTTGGAGGAGGGTGCCAAACAATTTCGGGACAACCAACGGCAGCTAAACCCGAATATAATGGAGGTGGTGAAAAAGGAAGTGTTGAAGCTCTACTCCGAGGGGCTCATTTATCCAGTGGCCGACAGCGAGTGGGTCAGTCCCGTTCATGTGGTGCCAAAGAAAGAGGGCATCACGGTGATCGAAAATGAGAAGAAGGAGATGGTTCCCACCCGCATTACTACCGGGTGGAGGATGTGTATTGACTACCGGCAGCTCAATGCCATGACAAAGAAGGACCATTTTCTGTTGCCATTCATCGACCAAATTCTCGATCGTCTCTCGGGCCACCAGTTCTATTGCTCCCTCGATGGACTCTCGGGCTACTACCAAGTGGCCATAGCTCCGGAGGACCAGCCCAAGACAACCTTCACGTGCCCATTCGGCATGTTTGCTTTCAGATGCATGCCTTTCGGCCTATGCAATGCACCCGGGACCTTCCAACGGTGCATGTTCTCCATTTTCTCCGACATGCTCGAGGAATGCTTACAGGTATTTATGGATGACTTCTCTATATTTGGTACTTCATTTTCTGATTGTCTCCATAATTTATCTCGTGTGCTTGAGAGGTGTATTGAGTCTAACTTGACATTGAGTTGGGAGAAAAGTCACTTCATGATGACGAGTGGAGTTGTGTTGGGTCATGTGATATCTAGTCGTAGAATTGAAGTTGATAAGGCAAAAATTGATGTGATTGAAAAACTCCCCCCTCCTGTGAATGTTAAGGGAGTTAGAAGTTTTTTGTGTCATGCTGGCTTTTATAGGAGATTTATGAAAGATTTTTCGAAAATCAGCCTGCCATTGTGTCACTTGCTTGCTAATGATGTGCCATTTGTATTTGATAATGCATGTGTTGAGGCTTTTGAGAAATTGAAAAATAAACTTGTGACTGTCCCTACAGTAATTGCTCCTGACTGGTCTTTGCCGTTTGAAATTATGTGCGATGCTTCAAACCTTGCTGTTGGAGCCGTTTTAGGCTAACGAGTTGATAAATTGCTTCGAGTAATTTATTACGCTAGTTTGACCTTGAATGGTGCCCAATTGAATTATACGACCACTGAAAAAGAACTTTTAGCCGTTGTATTTTCCCTTGGGAAATTTAGGTCTTACATTCTAGGGTCTAAAGTGATTGTGCATTCCGATCATGCGGCTCTTAGGTATCTTTTGAGTAAAACTCAATCAAAACCTAGGCTTATTAGGTGGATTTTGTTGTTGTAAGAGTTTGATGTAGAGATTAGGGATAGAAAAGGCTGTGAAAATGTTGTAGCTGATCACTTGTCTCGCATTGTTCCCTCCGACCCTTGACTTGCATTGAATGAGCATGTAGGCATAAATGATGATTTTCCGTATGAGCATGCGAATGAAGTGGTTAGTGTGCCTTGGTATGCAGATATAGTGAATTATTTATCAGATGGTGTCTTGTTGGCTAATCTCTCTTCCCAAGAGAGGAAACGTTTTGTGTTGATGTGTAGGAGCTACTTTTGGGATGACCCACTCCTCTTCAAGGTGGGAAAGGATGAGATTCTTCGGAGGTGTGTGCCCGAAGAAGAGCAATTGGATGTCCTCACCTTTTGCCACGAGCTTAACTGTGGAGGACATTTTGGAGGACGTAAGACCGCCTTTAAAGTTCTCCAATCAGGTTTATTCTGGCCAACTCTTTTTAAGGATGCTCATAATTTTTGTAAATCATGTGACCGATGTCAAAGAATTGGGAACATTGGTTCTAGAAATTAAATGCCCCTAGTGAACAATTGCAAGTTGAGATTTTTGATGTTTGGGGCATTGATTTCATGGTACCGTTTCCCAAGTCTTTTGGCTTCGAATATATCCTCGCTGGAGATTACGTGTCCAAGTGGGTCGAGGCTATCCCCACACGGACATGTGATGCTAATGTCGTTATAAAGTTTTTGCGAGGAAATATCTTGAGCAGGTTTGGATTTCCACGTGCCATTGTGAGCGATGGGGGCAAACATTTATGTAACCGGATTTTTGAGAAATTGATGAAGAAATGCGGAATTTCGCATAAAGTGGCCACCCCATACCATCCACAGACCTCGGGGCAAGCAAAAACGAGCAACAAGCAGATTAAGATTATTCTTGAGAAGACGGTGAATTCGTCTAGGAAGGATTGGTCGAGCCGGCTCGATGATGCACTCTCGGCTCAAAGGACGGCATACAAGGGAGTATTGGGGATGAGCCCGTTCTGGCTCGTCTACGAGAAATCATGCCATTTGCCGGTTGAGATCGAGCACAAGGCATTCTGGGCAATCAAAAAGATAAATTTCGATCTTGATGCTGCTGGGCGAGAGAGGATGCTGCAACTCTCAGAATTAGAAAAGTGGAGAAACGAAGCCTACGAGAATTCCAAAATCTACAAGGAGAAGACAAAAAGGCTTCATGATGCCACTCTTGTTCGAAAGAACCTCGAGCCCGGAATGAAGGTACTTCTCTTTTATTCTCGCCTACGTCTTTTTCCTGGAAAGCTTAAGTCACGTTGGAGTGGGCCGTATATTGTTGATGAAGTGTTGTCCTTTGGAGCTGTCCGTTTGCGTAATCCGGCAAACAACAAGTTATTCTTGGTTAACGGGCAGAGAGTGAAACCATATTTTGATGGCGAGTTTGGAAAGAGACATGTCGAGACCGTCAGTCTCGGCGACCCTGTCTATGCGTGATCGAGAAATTATGCTGAGCTCCCGGCATTAAACCGAGTATCCTTGTACTGTTGTGTATTTGTTTTATTATCTTATATATATATATATATATATATATATATATATATATACATATATATATATAAATGCAGGTCGCGGCCGCGAAAGATTTCTTCACCGCGATCGCGGCGTCTAATCGGGAATCAAACGTGCAGCAACAGGCTTGAAATTCCGCAGCCTCTGGAAATTGTCGCGGCCGCGAATGAAGGTCACGGCCGCAGAAAATTTCTTCACCGCGGCCGCGATGAGTTAAACACCACAAACGAGCTCAACCTGGACAGAGCTAAATTTCCGCGGCCGCGGTGAAATAAAAAAGTCGCGACCTGGGAATGTCGCGGCCGCGGTGATGCGGAAGTGGGTTCCGAGCCCCGACGACAAGAAGGACCAAGAGTCGAGACGAACCGATGAGGCCGAAAAAAGGGCCAAAACGACGCAAGCATGACCTAAAAGACGAGTGCGAGCTCGTATGCGAGGCACTCAAGCACATGAGAAGCGGCACGAGTCCACACGAACACGAGGTCGCGCATGGAAGTGCGCAAGGACACGCGAGAAGGTGGTCTCGAGGCTAGCAACGCTCACACGCAAGAAAGGGTGCATTCTAGAAGGGCGCGAACACGCGCA